GTGAATCACTGTAGCCCCAGCAGGCTTGGGCGGTCTCTGTCCACGATGGTGAGCAGCAGCACCTCGGTATGCCCTTTAAAGGTTACTTTGAAATGTCCAGTTCCGACTACAGGAATACGGTTTCCCTGATAGTCCTTTAGGGTCAGCTTTTGATTTTCCAGCTCATGGCGGCGGATGGTAGGCACCAGGTGTTTGATTGTGCGCCAGGAAACCATGGAGAGGTAGGATCCGGAATCCACCTCCATCTCACATGGTTGATCCTCGATGCCTACCTCCACATGCACCCTCCGGGCGTCGATGGTCAAGGAGTGGCCGATGACAACCATCTGATGGGTCTCCTCTCTCCGTTGCGCCTTGCTGAGCTGCTTGCTTCGGCCGTCTCAGCTCCATCGGCTCTCGGTGTGGCGGTCTCTGGTGCTGGGGTGGTGCCGTCTTGTCGCCGGGGGCTGCCATCTCGTCATCGGGGGCTGTACTTCCGCTTGTTCTGGCATACCTTGGCAATGTGCCTCCGCTTGTGGCAATGCCGACAGATAGCATTGAGGAAATAGCATTCTGAGCGGGGGTGATCGCCTCCGCAGCCGGCACATTGGAACCCTGACTTACTTCCTCTCCGCCCCTGCCGGTCACGTTCCGCCTGGAGTCGGTGGATCTCTTCCTCCTCGTCTTCGGTGTAGGATAGGGAATCAACGTCACCGTGGTGGATGGTGGTGATCGCCCGGTGGCTGGTCTCTGTGTGTTTCGCCAGGGCCGTCTCGATTGTTGCTGGCCGGTCCGCTGCACTCGCCTGCCGCATCTGAGCCACCGATTTCTTGGTCGCTTCGGCTGCAGTTGCCTTGGCGAGGGCTTCAGTGAGGGAAATGTCGTCCCTTGCCATCAGCCAACTCTGCAGAATGGGGTCCTTGAGTCCAAGGACGATGTGGTCTCGCAGGGCCTCATCCATATCGGTGAACCTGCACATGCCCCCAAGGTCCCTCAGTTCAGCCACGAAGTCACTGATACTCTCACCCTACTTCTGGTCCCGCTGATAAAAATCGTGCCTTCTGATGAGGGTGGGCATGGCGGAGGCATAGTGGTTCCGCAGCAACAGTTCGAGATCGGCCCAGTCCATCACTTTTACATCATCGGGTTTGGCTAGGGCCTTTGCCATCTTGAACACTGCAGGCCTGCAGTGTGTCAGGAACACGGCCCTTTTTTTCTGTCCATTGGCATCTTTCAGATTGCTGCTTTCCAGGAACATTAGGAATCGGTCAATGTAGGATTCCCAATCTTCAGCAGCCTGGTTGAAGGGTGCGGGTGGCACGGTGCTGCTGGCCATCTTGTCGGTCGTCTTTTGCCGCTTTGCCATGTGCTTGGTTGGTCTCTTGTCTCACGATCCTATCCTCGTCGCCAGTGTTAGATCGGGTAGATTGGTCCCCACAGAAACACGAGACCAAAAATGAACATTCAGCTCTTTATTCAGTATACAGTTCTGTTCAAGACCTGCTCGCAGCTCGGCAGCCAATGACAGGGCTTTGAATCTCCTGCGATCAGCTCGGCCAATCGCGGTTGATTCTTAGCGCACCAATCATGGCCATTTAGTTATCCAATCAGGTTTCGGTCTGTGTGGACTAATCAGGTTTCAGGGTTTGGAACAGATGGCCCTCCTTGGGATTTGTGTCTGGTTTGCTGCCTACAAGTCTGTTCTTTTTGGAGGGTCCTTTTCAGACAGGGTGTTGTTCTAACTTTGAATGGTCAGTAAATGAATGGTTGCAAGTCAAGGACTACCTGTAGTCTATGTCAATTTATTCCTGCTGTGTTGTGTGAAACTTGTCATTTAGCTAGTATATGTATTAGGACCAGGGAGATTGGTTAGCAGCTAGCAAATATTCTAGCTTTTCTTACTTAAAATCTGCCTATATCTTTACTTCTGTAGGTCTGATTTTTAAGATTGTGATCATATAAAGTGAATAATTCAAAATTACATTTTATTGATAAAATACTGTCTCATCTTTTGATCTTGACTCTGGATATGGGATCTGCAGCAAAAGAAAAAAAAGGCTGGGGAATTCTGGAGATAGCCCTCGATTTAACAACCATTTCTTCCTCCCTTCTGTTCCCACCTTCCATTTCATGAGGCCAATAACTTTATTCTGGAAATTACATGTTCAAAAGGAAGCCAAATCCAGTAGTCCTCAATTTACAACAGTTCATTTAGTGACAATTTGAAGTTACAATGGCACTGAAACAACTGCTTTTCAACTTACAGTCATTGCAGCATCATCATGGTTACATGATCAAAATTCAGATGCTTGTCAACTGATTCATATTATGACAGTTCAAGCGTCCCATGATCATGTGATCAACTTTTGCAACCTTCTGTCATATTCACTTAACAACTGTGTGATTAACAACTGCAGTGACTTACTTAACAACTGTGACAAGAAAGGTTGTTAAATGGGGCAAAATTCCCTAAGAACCAGTGATGGCATTCAACCAGTTCGCACCACTTCGGGAGAACCAGTTGTTAACTTTCTAAGCAGTTTGTAAAACGGTTGTTGGAAGAAATCATTAGGGTAGAAAACCAGTTGTTAAATAATTTGAATCCCACCACGGCTTATTACCAAAGGAGCAGTTCCTCACATTGTGGCTGCTGCAATCAATATGAAAAGCCGAGCCAATGTTTTGAGCACATTTAACATCTCCAGCCCAACAGTTCTCCATTAACACTCACCACACCTGTCAATTTACCAACTCCAGTTACTGCACTAGTGAACATTGCACATCCAGTCACTATCGCTTCACCAATGAACCTCCCAACATAATAACATTATCTGGTCCTTTAAATATAACAATGAGACCTGTGGAAAGCATGCCTTTCCTTCCCCAGGCATTGCCAACCTCTCCCCCCAGTGCAAAAACTTCATGCAGTTTTAAAAAGAAGACTAGAAAAGGGGGCTGCTGTATATTGTTTAATGAACTGCTAAATTGGCCATGTCCACCCAGTCACATGACCACATAGTCACACTCATAGAATTGGTAATAAAAAAAAATTGAATCCCACCACTGGAAAACAGCAGTGGGAATACAGAAATGGGAAAATAGCTAAAATGCCCAAAACAGCTGGCGGGGGAGAGGAGAGGACCCTGGAGACATTTGTGGAAATGTTTCCATCTACTTTCTGCTATGCTGGATTTTCAGTCTCTTGGATAGTCTGCAGACACAAGATCTATACCTTCAATAGACCCTTCTTAATTTTCCCTTCAATATGATCAGAAGTTGGCTCATAAAATCATCTTTAGAAATTAATCATGGAAGTATGTTTAGAATGTAACCAAGTATACTCTATTTTAGTGCAAAACAATAATTATTTTATCTGAGAAATTTCAAACTTCTGGCACTCAAAAAAGATTATAGACACTCTGGTGGATGGTTCCAATAAATATTCATTTGGTTTCTATTCAATATTGCAGTTTATTTTTGCACAAGTTGAATAACTCATCTGAAAAACTTTTTCTGCTGCTCATAATTAAATTTATGAAGTATTTTCCTTCAAGGTTAGATATAACTGACTAGGACTTCTCTCCAATTATATATCTACCTTTAGAGGTGCTCATCAGATTTGTATACAAGGCACCTTTATTGAGCAGCAGAGATTTAGGAAGATTAAATACTGGCCACCTGATGACATTTATGACTGGTTGCCAAATACCCTGCAATCATGTGGCTGCTATCTGCAATCTTCTCTGCCAGCTTTGGAAACTGGCAGGAAATGGAAGGGACAGAAGATTTGATGCCCACTGCCCTAGTGCACCAAGGGATTTGCCCTTCCTTTAAGGCAGAAGAAAATGGTTCTCAAATCTGGTGAAAATGCTAGAAAAGTTGACATTCAGAAAAGTTCAGAGCCTTTAATGTTTTCCACCCTCAAATTTACTTCTTTCACTCGCATCCTATGGAGAAGAAAAACCTAAAATGCTGAGGCTCACAGCTTTTCAAAATGCCAGTTTTGCTAGGGTTTTGTTCTCCCTTGTTTTCATGATGGTTCCTAAGGCCTCTTTTCCAAATCACGCAAATCATTGAGAGAGAATGGAGCCTGAATGCAGGATGGGGCAAGGTGGTGGGAAAGTAATGAAACCTAGTATGATGGGGTGGAAAGAAAACTCGGTAGCCTTGGCCAATCGATGTCTCCTAATTTTTTTTATACTATCACATAATCAATACTTAATTCTGGCAGCAAAAGATGAATTATTTTCTTCAAATAATTGCTTACTAATTTGAAGAGCAAAGGATTTGCATTAGCTGACAATAGGTGTTCTTGAAAAAAGGAATGTAGCCGAAAGCTATGATTAGCAATCTTTAATAATTTGGTAGGGGATGTTCATCTGGTAAATTATAATGCTTTTTTGGGTAATGTTTAACACATTTCCTTTCAGATTAATTTCCTTCTATTTCAAGTTAAACTTTTCTATTCTTATTTTACCCAATGCAGCATGTATTATTACTTTTATATGCATGAAGAGACAAAGAAAATGGGTGATATGTGTTGGTGTTCCTTTCTATATAAAAGAAATGATATGGATTTCTCAATGTGAAAGTGGTTTCTATGCACAAGAAAGAAATTCTTATATATGCATAAAAGATATACATTTTTGTCACAGATTTCTTACTACCAGTTTCCTAACTAGAGATTCATCTTCCAAAATAGCTACCACTGTTATCCATATTGTATAGTTTAAAATCTCATTTGAAGTTATAGTTATTCCCTTGGGCATTTTCAGGCTTATAACTGTGGTAAGAACAATAATCTTTTAATTATTGCAACCCTATTGTTATATATTATTTTATTTTCACCTAAATTAACAAAATGCTTTTTATGGAAGATAATTTTTAATATATTTAGTTTTTGTACACGCCTCTACTTCTTTTGGAAGGAAAAACAGTATATGAATGAATGAATGATATAATAGTATTAGTAATAATTCCTGTTCAAGTCTTTAAATCATGAGGCAGTATAGCGACCTTACCATTGATAATGCCTGGATGGATGGATGCAAGAATCTGAGCTTCCACAATTTCCTTTTCATTGGACTGCAACTTTTCTTGCAATTCTTTCTTCTTCATTAATAGGTCATATAATCCCTTTTCTTAAAAATAAAAATGTTTTTTAAATTATTTCATGAAAACAAAGTACAATTATGTCCCACATCATTAAAAATGACACCTGGATCATTTCATTAAAGTGGCAAATGCAAGGCAAAGAAATAGTGACATTGCCATGAAGATATCTAATATTTTCAGGTAACTTCATGACAGTGTCACTATTTCTTGTCTTGCATTTGTTTTACAACACCATTATACAACTCCATTTAAACAGAAAACCAAAAACTAAGAAAAAAAAACCAAATTTCAGACAATAGAACAAAAACGAAAGTCAATTTTCTCCCTTTCAGTTATCTCTTTGGAAGGATGAGGTAAAAGTCTCAATCTAGCATGCTTTTGTTTGTAGGGAAATAACTTCTTCATGTATTTTACATCAGTATTGGAAAGTACATATGTTTATTTTAAAAGATTGTGAGAAGTCATAAAGATAGTATTTATGTAACAATGGACTAAAGAAGTGTATAATTTTGGAGTTGAAACTACTTTCCAAGTCTTTAAGGTTTTAGGCAAAGACCTATTATCAAAATAAGCATGGCTGTTTATTTAGTGTTTCCCCAAAACCTGGAAGAAGCAAACCCCTAATAATCTAAAGTGCCAAAATACAGCTCATCAGTTTATTTGGGGGGGGGGGGGATTTTGGGAGGTTTCAAAATTGCAAAATGCAAAAGGCCCTCCAATGGCCCTCCAAGGCTCTCCAAAAGAAGCAGCACTATATTGCTGGGCCAAGAACTCAGAATGAAAATGGGAATAGGAAATATTTGTGGGGCATACTGTTATCATTCTTACTCTTACTATCTAATGCCAAGAAGTTATTCAGTCACATAAGTTAATTCCCCTTTTACAACCCTAATTTCAATATTGAAGGCTTAAATACTGGAATTTATTTATCTTTGTCTAGAATCAAACAAAATTGTGTGGAACATCCTAGGTGGCACTATATTTACTCCTATTTCTGGTGTCTTAATTATGATTATAAAACCAGTGCCACATGCTGGGATATATTTATTTAAAATGCAGCTTTTCATAAAGAACCCGTAGTTCAATGAGTACATTCTCTCCACCATCTTCAATTAAAATATCAAGTAGCAGGTTCTATAGAAGAGTTCTATCTGAGGGACCCTTGTATAAGCCACTCACTTTTCAACTAATTATTATTAAAGTATTCGGAGCTCTTAAGCCATGTTCCTATGTTTCATAGTCTTGCCAAAAGTTTACTTGGCTTAAAGAATGTACTGATCTTATTTGCAAACCTAACATTAAAAGCTGATATTAGAAACTTAACACATTTCCCTCAACCTACATTTTAAATGTGCTCATTTTTGTGTTTGTATCATGTTTATTCCTGGGTGAGCCAACAACCTAAACAGAACATAAATTCCCAGAAAAGAAGCTTACTGTTATCCAAAGAAAAATATTTTATTACAACTGTTTTGCCTCTGAGAATGGTTTTTAAATGGATGAAAGTTTTTCATGATCGTAACATGAACGACTTATGGACTCTTTCAATAATGTCAATGTGGCATAATATGTGAAAGTGAAGAAATACCTACAGTTAATGCTTACTTTAAACATAGATTCATTTAATTTGTACTTACCAATAGATTTTCCAATTATACCTCTTTCTGAAGCAACACTCTTTGCTTTCAGTAGATTAATAGTAGTTTGCCCTAATTCGTCAATCAAATATCTTTTTTCCTCAGAAAGTTTATGTAATGTTTGCTCTATAAAAATCAGATCATATATATTGAAAAAGCTGTGCTATACACAATGCTGTAGACTGCTCTACTATACTCTTCATTCATTAAATTTCTATAACCATCAAACTCAATCAAGGGATTCTGGGAAGTTTTATTTTCTCTGGAAAATTAAATATTAGTAGTTGTATTCATAATATTTACAATATTGGTCAATCTATACTTCTCATTTGAGGCACAAATAACCAGGTTCAAATTATCCTACTTTAGACCTATTTATTATGCATTGTATACCTATACAGAAAGTTCTAATGCTGGGAAACGTGGAAGGCAACAACCAGAAGCAAGGTGGATGTTACAATGGTGACAGGTGCATTGCTGGAAGATTTTCAAGGCCAAGTTAGGGACAGATTGTTGTGGAGAGAATAACTGTGTGGTTGCTAGAAATGAAAAATGACTTCATGGTTCATAATTAGTCATAATCAATATTCACTGCATGTCAACTTTATTTCAAAAACCTTTCATACTTATTATTCATACTCATTACTTGTCATGTTGCAAAGTAAATTTGTTATATAGAAGCAATGAAGGTCCTTTAGTGTCCAAAGTGTAGTTCAAAATATGAAATGATCATTTGGAATACAGGATACTCAAACTAATCATTTAAAAAACAGTGCCAGGGTTTGTCCAATTTATCACATGCTGACTTTAAAGGAAAAAGAAATGTGGGCGGGGCATTACAATTACACCAATATAAGACAAAATAAAAAATGAAGGAATAGATGCAAATAAACCCCTAGACCCCACAGTTACTTAAAAATATCCTGGAAATAAACATCCTGAGAAAAAGTCTTTTTCACAATAGAATATTAGACCAAAAATAAAACTACTACACAATAGACATTACAGAGGGTTTTTTTATTCATATTTTCTAATCCCCGTTAGGCTATTTATGTTCTTCTTATCGGTCCTTTCAGCTTCAAATAAATATCTAGCTACTAGTTTCATCCATAGATGTGTAATGTAGACGTTAAGGTGCTGACTTAGAAACCAGAAGACTGTCCTTGAGGCCTCCCTTATGCATGAAAACTGGCAGGCTGACTTTTGGTCATTCACTCTCCCTCAACCTACCTCACCTCACAGTTGTGTAGTGAGAAAATAGGAGACAGGAACAAGAACTATTCACTGCCTTGAGTTAAGTAATTAAACACAGAGAGGTGGTATAAAAGTATTGCAGAATAATAATGATGTTCTGCAAAATTTAATTCTGGTTATAGAACTAAACAAGCCAAATATTGTAACCTTTCCTCATAGGGGAGATACAATGACCCTGCTGTTTTTATTAAAAGTGCAGTACACAATTCTTGATTTAGCACTACTACAAACCTCCCATTGCTTAAAAATGATCCTTTACTTAGATCTCTTGGTTTTTCCTTGAAGGCATTTCATTACCCAAACTAGATAACATCATCATTTCTGTTCAACTCCTCATTTCAACTCTCAGCTACATATATTCTGTTTTATTGATACCTATTGATGCTTACTCCTTGAATTTGGAATACAACCTCAGTTCTTACTGCCTTTTTAAAATATTGTTTTGTATCAAAATTCTATTCAATAGTGGGAAATAATTAAAAGAAAAGACCTATTTTTAAAAATAATATTTGAAATTGATCAATACATACCACTGAAAATGCCAGGATATATAGCTGCAGAAGCTGAAGTTTCATATAATTCTTCCTGAACAGATTCAAGCTTTCCCAGTATTTCTTCTCTTTTTCCAGATAACTCATATAATTCTATTTCTGTAACATATTAATATTTCAAAAAACACAGCAAAGTTAGTATTACTTTTGAAGTTGCATTAACTATTAAAACAGCTCTTGGATTTCCAGAGAATATGAAGGATGAGACAGCCAGAGTTTACATGAGATTTTGAATTTGCCCTCTTTTGGAGCAAACAACTAAAGTTAATTTTAAATGAAACTTTATCTTGGGTTGTTCAGAAGAAAGGCAAAATAAGAGAAACGGAAAGTCTTATAAATTATCTGGAACTCTGGAAATAAACCTAATTGCGGTACTACACCAGCATATCTCAAGCTTATACCACAATGTATAGGCTTTAACACTCAATTTGAAGATTACAACTGAACATAAAAAAGTTAGAAGATTGTGAAATTTGCTGTCTAAGCTAGAGATTGTTCGAGGAATATTACAAAATGAGAATTCGCCATTTCAATCTATACTTTTAAATAATAGCCCTCTTTTTGTAGTGCTTCTTTAAGCTCTTACAGAAAGACAGGTATGAAAACAATGGTCCTCACCAGAGGTGGTATTTAGCAGGTTCCGACCAGTTCTGGAGAACCGATAGTGGAAATTTTGAGTAGTTCAGAGAACCAGCAAATACCACCTCTGACTGGCCCTACCCCCATCTATTCTCTGCCTCCTGAGTCCCAGCTGATTGGCTGGGCCTTCTTTTGTTGCCCTGCATAGGAGAACAGAGCTGAAAAGCAGGTTAGTGGGGTGGGGAGGGAATGGGATTTTGCAGTAACCTTCCCCAGGAGTGGGAAGGGAATTGAGATTTTACAGTATTCTTCCTCTGCCACATCCACCAAGCCACGCCCATACCACACCACGCCCACCCAGCCATACCCTCAGAACCGGTAGTAAAAAAAAAATGAATCCCATCACTGGACTTCACCAGAGATTTCTACCAAAAAAAAAGTGTTACTCTCAATAACTGAAGTTGATAACATATACGTTAAATCTAAAAAGCAGTAAAAAATATATCAACTTTTTTCTCCAGGGGAGTATCCCCAGTAAACTCTTTTCATCCCTATCAGTCTTGTAGAGATATTACCAATATCAGAGATAAGAGGATTTCCAAAATTCCAAATATTGCTGAGGAAATAGCTATTATTGAGAGAAAGCTACACTCAAAAGATTACACATGGATAATAGCCTAATTGTGATACAATCATACAGAATAAGAAATCAATCTGTAATAACAAAACCCCTTTAACCCTTTCCAACTTCATGGCTTGGGGTTTGGCTAGTCTAGAGAAAGGAAGGACTGGGGGGAATATGATAGCAGTATTTCAGTATTTGAGAGGTTGCCACAAAGAGGTGGGGGGGTCAATTTATTTTCCAAAGCACCAGAGCACAAGAAACAATGCATAGAAACCAACCAAGGAAAGAAGCAACCTGGAATTAAGGAGAAACTTACTAATAGTGACAATTAATAAGTGGAACAGCTTGCCTCCAGAAGTTGTGGGAGATTAATCACTGGAGATTTTTAAGAAGAGAGTGAAAGGTCACTTATCTGAAATGGTATAGGACAGTGGTGGCTCATCTTTTTCGGCTCCCGTGCCGATAATTGCACACAGAAGGCAGTGCATGCTGCCCCCGCACACTCCCTGTTCATGCGCGCGCAATCCCCCCCGAGTGCTGTGCATCTGCACATGTGCATGCAATCCCCCGCTGCACACCGCACGGCTGTGTATGCACACACAATTCTCCCGTCACCAGCCGCACATCTCTGCGCCTGTGCACAATTCCCCCACCACACACCATGCATCTGCGCATGTACATGCAATCACCTCCGCATGCTGCTCATCTCTGTGCATGTGCGCGTAATCACCCCATGCCATCCATCTGTGCATGCGCGTGTGAGTCCTGCTGCACAAAACGTGTCTCTGTGCATGCATGTGCTGTGTGTCTCTGTGCATGCGCATGTGTCTCCCACACACACTCGCACACCCCTGCACGAGTACCAGATACCCAACAATCAGCTGTCGGGCGGCGGAGGCAGGCGCATGCACAGTGGGGCTCTTCCTGGTGAACTCTCACATGCCGGCAGAAGTGGCTCAGTGTGCCACTTCCAGCACCTATGCCATAGGTTCGCCAACACTGGTATAGAATCTCCTTCTTGAGCAGGGGGCTGGACTAGAAAACCTCCAAGGTCCCTTCCAGCTTTATTCTGATTCTGAATCCTTAATGGGAAATGAGGCAAATTATTTGAGGGGTTCAATTGATTTCTGCTAGCAAAAGGTTGTAGAAGCTTTGAGAGAACAACATAAGGCTTTTAACATATTTGTCATTAAGTGATCATCTGATTTAGCACTACTGGAAAAATTTATGTCTACTTTAAATGATCAATTGATGATCCATATCAAATTACTATCAAGTGAAGAATTTCCTTTGGAACTGGACTTCAGAATAATATAATATTTAATGATAATTCACTAATGCACAACCATTCCCAAACTCAGACTCATTTTATACATAATAAGAGAAATATTCCAATAAATGCGTTTCATCAGGAGGAAGACAAGAGCAATATAATAAAGAAAAGCAGCACTGATCTTTTTTGCAAGACATGAATTTCTCAGAAAGCACAGTTGAAAAGGCAAAGCTGAAGAGACTGACTGTTCAGTACAGGTAATCCTTGACTTAAACAGTTCATTTAGTGACTGTTCAAAGTTACAACGGCACTAAAGAATGTAACTTATGACCATTTTTCACAGTTATGACATTTGTAGCATCCTCATCATCATGTGATCAAAATTCAGATGCTTAAAAACTGGTTCATATTTAATGATGGTTGTTGTATCCCAAGATCATGTTGCAACCTTATCACAAGCAAACTCAATGGGAAAACCAGATTCACTTAGCCACCGGGTTACTAACTTATCAATTGTGGTGATTCACTTAACAACCATGGTAAGAAAGTTTGTAAAATGGGGCAAAACTCTCTTAACAAATGTTTCACTTAACAACAAAAATTTTGAGCTCAATTGTGATTGTAAGTCGAGGACTACCTGTATTCTGACTCTGAGCAAAGCAATTGTTATGCTTTGCTGACATCTGGTGGCAACTATAATCCATGAGTTCCCAGTCTGATAGATATGTTAGAGGGAGAAGGTAGCTGGCTAAGAACTGGTCACAGGATAGCTTATGTTCAAGGACAACCAGTCTCCTTCATTGTATTAATTTGGCAATAGAGATGATTGGAATAGGGTTTATTCCTTTGCTCCTTCTATACATATAAATCTTCAGATTCTTCACATAGCTCATTGGGAAAAGTACTAATATAGAAGGTCACATAGCTCTTTGAGTCAATAACTTTCAATTATATTATTTCAATATTTATACTGACTTGTTAAGTTTCTGCCATTGTTAAACAGAGTAAAAGCAAAAGTGGGAAGGTAAACAATAAGCTTTTTAAAATACAAAATGTTTGTTTGTTTGTTTGTTTAAAATTTGCCATGGGGGGTTTTCTAGGCAGCTTACAGCAGTCAACATAAAATTGTAAGAATTGTAATTATAACAATAATAAAAAATGAAACAATAAAAATAAATAATGAAAATACAGCAAAATAAATTAAAAATTAGGCAGGGAAGGAACAGAATGTGCGATGTGTGTGTGTGTGTGTGTGTGTGTGTGTTATTAGTTTAATAATCTTTCTATATGAAGAATTACCTTTAGAAATAAGTTAAATAATGAGGTTAAAAAGGAGAAAAGGATGAATAAGGTTTCTAATTACTATTTATTTTAATGAGAAAAGACAAGATACTCTTGGACATGGTCAAGGAATTAAATAAATGAGGTTTCATCAGGAAAAGGAAGAACAATTCTATGTCACTTGATTTTCCACCTGTATAGTCCAGGTGGTGTGTATGTTATCCCCAAATGATCAGTTAAAATTTGGAAGCACTATATGCGTAATAAATGCTTGTAAAATTCACAAACATAATTTATGTTCTACTTACCATCAGGATGCACAACAGAAACAACTTCAGATGTAAATTCTTTTTGTATTTCATGCGTAACTGTCTCTAGATTTGCAATGAGAGATCTTCTTTGCTTGGTTAGTTCCTGTAGTTTATAATCTAGAAATATTATATATAACTTAATAAAAATAATACATTTTGAAATCAGTCTATTAACTTCTTTTTTCAACAATTGGACATTGCTATCTTAATAATATATATAATATATTCAGGGGTGGGTTTCTACCAGTTCTGTCCACCTCTGTAGAACCGGTAGCTCTGAAAAGCAGTAGACATAGAACCGGTTCTCTGTCTGCTAATGTTTTTGCTCACCCGCCCACCCGGGCTCTTACCTGATCTTTGTTTCCTGATTTTTCAACTTCAGCTGCTGAACGAGGCACAGCTGCAGTTAAAAAAACAAGAAATGAGGGCTGTTTCAAAGGCTGCTTCTCGTGCTAATAACGATTAACAGGCATGCAGCTCACAGCGGGCAGGGAAGCTCATAAATCCTGACCGGTAATTAACCCTGTTGTATCACACCCCTGAGTATAATTATTTGTACCTCTTAACTCACAGTTTCTCATATTTAGTTACCAAATGAAGACAATAAAACTCTATTGTGAAGTGTCTTTGTTCAGTTTCCTGTATCTCCATGAACCAAAAAAACCCAAAACATTCCACCCTCCTGGAATGATATCATTACAACCAATATCTGTAACACTGAGATAGATAAGCAGATGTAACCCTGGCCCAACTAATTTAAAGAAATTCCTAATTTCCTAAATGTTTAATATTGTTGTTCACATAATACAAAAACCTAGATACATACCACTGATACTGCCTGGTTGGGTAGTTGCAAGAGCCTTAGCATCCTGTAGCTCTTTTTCATTTGATTCCAGCTTTTCTAGTAACTGTTGCTTTTTCATCAACAACTCATGTAATTCTCTTTCTGCAAGCAGAAATGTTTGTCCATTAATCTCTTGAGAAACATTTTAGAAGTCATGTATTATTTTAAATATTCTAAACTCTGTATTATTATTAAGAATAAAATAAATATTATTAACATTATAACATAGAATCTTTCAAAAGTTCTTAAAAACCAACCAATTATTATATTTAGACAAATTCACATATAGTGGGATAGTTGCTAGTGGATAGTTGTGTGAGGTCTTAAAACTGCACACAATGCATCAAGGTGTTTAATTCTTGGTTTTGTTCTTTTCTTTAAAATTGTTTGTTACATTATTATGAGACATACGTAACACATATATTAGTTTGAAAAATTGGTATTTATAGCATTGACTAGAGATTATTAACGCTGCAATGTTTAGATAAAACTCTTAAAGATAAAAATATGACATTAACTATGATTTGAAATGTTGATATTACGAATTATGAACATAGAATTATTTATATTTTACATTAAAAGCTGAATATAATTCTAATTAGCATGGCCTTTAATTTTGAAAACAGTTCCAAATATGAATGTAGTTCATGCTAAAACCTTGACTATTTTTTCTGAGAAATCATTAGAGGTAATAAATTATTATAAAAAGAAAATCTTGAAAAACAAAGAATAAGAAATAGAATAAGAAATGGAATGAGAAGGATATACACTGACTCCAGATTTGTTTAAAGTGTAAACTGACATTATAATAAGAATGTTATGGTTCAAAGAAAGATGATAACTAGAATCAAATATAAAACTAATCTACTTTTTGAGGTATATGAATAAAAGTTCTCACAAATGACTTAGAGAATTGTCATCATTTCAAACTTCCACAAGACCACTAACATTCGAGATACAAAAATACCTAAATTAATTGTCATTCTCCTACAAGAGCTGCACTGGTTATTTTATTTGCTTCTGAGTCCAATTCAAGGTGCTCATTGTCACTTTTAAAGACCTATAGGTAATCCTCAATTTATGACCACAATTGAGCTAATAATTTCTGTTGCTAAGAGAGATAATCGTTAAGTGAGTTTAGCTCCATTTGACAAGCTTTCTTGCTACAGTTTGCTAACTGAATCACTACAGTTGTTAAGTGAATCTGACTTCCCCATTGACTTTACCTGACAGAAGGTCACAAAAGGTGAACAGATCCTGGGACTCTGCAACTATTCTAAATATATGCCACTTGCAAAGTCCACTAATTTTTATCATGGGGAAGCTGCAACAGTCATAAGTTGAAAACCAGTTAGAAATCACCTTTTCAATGCCGCTGTAACTTCAAATGATCACAAAGTGAACGGTTGCAAGTCAAGGACTACCTGTACATGTCTTGGGACCATAGGTTATTTGAAGGACTCTCTTTTCCCAGTCACAGATACCTACCAGAGAGGATGGGCAGATAATGCTATGGGTTTCTTCTCCTAAAGAGATAATCTACCAGGTTCAAGAAGAAGGGACTTCTCCCTTGTGGCTTCCTCCTTCAGAAACATCTCCCCATAAAGATAACACTGGTTCCCACTTTGACACTCTATTGCAAGGCCTTAAAGACCTGGTTTTGCCAACAGGCCTAGGGAACTCAAAGTGGGATGGAACCCATCAAGTGGCTTATTTGATTGACTGATTGTTGTTGCCAGGGAGATGGGGGTTATTACATTTTATTGTTTTTATATTGGGTTTTTATCTTTGTAAGCTGCCTGGAGTCACTGAAAGCAAGTTGGGTGGCCATAAAAAATTCATTAAATAAACAGGTATATGAGGTAAGAAGGCAATGACATAGATCTCTTATAGAAATAACTTTCTTTATCAAATAAGAATATGAAAAATGAGAATCAGCTTTGCTAATCAAAATGAAAATCATTACGTTAATAATGGACTTCTGTGAAAGGTGGCCACTCAAATCATGGATCCGGAATTATTACTAAAAAGAAGTAGAAATCAATAACTCAAGACTACTTGAGATTGATTACCCACCACTTAAGAAAAGAATCAGCCTTCACAAAATCACAGCTTTTGTGCATGTCATGCATGATGATGATGGACAAGGAAAATCATTATGTTTGATAAGCTTGAAAGAAATAGTAGGGTAAACCAAAAATCTAGCTGGATGAATAGGATTAAAGGGATTTATAATGCTATCTTTGAAAGAATTAAAAATATAAAATATTTCAGGAGATAAATTGATATAGCAATAATTTTTTTCATGAGGTTCACAGGATGACTCATAATTTATCAACATAACTAAAGAAACTAAATGTTTCTGGGAATCTATCAAACTGACATTTAAACCCAAATTTACTAACAGGAAACACAGACATAACACTGACCCTGTCAGAAACATGAACATCTGTTCATATCCAGAATATGAGTTAAACCAAATGAAGATATTATTACTTAAAATGTTTCATTTCAGCTGAAGGGATGACTCTCCTTCTATTAAAGATCTGCAGCATGATACATCAGAAAATGTGATTAAGTGACCAGATACATTTTCATTATTGTAAAACCTGAAGAGTACAGGTAGTTCTGGCTTGATGATGGTAATTGAGACCTGCAACTCCATCATTAAGAAACATGTAGCCATGCCAACTGACCATTGCACTTGTTGCAGTTCCAGTTGCCATCATCCTTTGCAGTTGCAGTGTCCCACAATCTCATAATCCCCATTTGTGACTTCCTGCCAGTTTCTACATTGACCTTGCTTGTTGGAAGCTAGCAGTGGATGTTGTTGATTGAGATGGTGTGACTGCAAGATGCTGCAGACATTGTAATTGCAAGCTGGTTGCAAAGGACCAAATCCTGGTCACATGACCATGGTGATGCTACAATACTGCAGCTACAAAGAATGGTCATTATCTCCCTTTGTTCACTGCTGATGTAACTTTCAACAGTCACTGAACTAATGATCACTCAACAAAGACTACCTATATGGTCCTCAGAACACACTGACACAAGGCTTGATTAAGGTATCAAAAATATAAATGCCATGAAAACAAATAACTTTTAATGTAGATACACTGGAATTATGAAGTTAAGTCTGAATCCAAGCAGGAAGGAGGGACTCTAATTGTCCTTCTCGCTTTGACAGGATCACAGAATTGCTAGGTTTACAGTAACAAAACAATATGTAAAATCAATACCATTTTTTCTAGAATCCTTAATTGATCTGTACTTACCAGAAGGTCGTATAAATGTAGTGCTTTCTGAATAATGGCGACATACATTTTGTATATCATCTAAAGTGGCCTCCAAGTCAGTGGCCAAATGTCTTCTTTGCTCAGTTAATTCCTGCAGCTTATATTCTAGCAACATAAAAATCGTATTATTCATTAAAGTCACCTTTAATATTATCTAGATTTCAAAATTTTAATGATCAGCATGCATCATGTCTCCCTGAAAATAAAACTGGGTCGTATTTCCTTTTAGGCTTGAAAATAAGCACTTAGGCTTATTTTAGGGGCGATTTGATTTTTTGGAGATGCAGGAGGTGGTGAGCATGGTCACCTCATGGCTGCTGGGCCTCTAAACTGCAGCCCGTGGATCAGCTGATCCAGCGAGGGCCAGAAACTTTGTCTGGAGATATTTCCAGAACATTCTTGCTTGACTCATTTCTGGCGGAGTTTGGGAGAAAGAAAGAAAGACTTCTGTTGTTTCTGCTGCTTTCGTTACATGCAGCCAAAAGTTTGCAAAAGACAGAAAAGTGAAATGCCAAACTCAACACATAATCACACCTCATGTATGGGCCACCTCGAGTGGGGCGGGAGTGGGGAGGCCGTTGAAGGAGCCCTGTGCAACCCCTGCCTGTTTCAGCTTTGCCTTTGCCAGGGCAGCAGGCACTAGAAGGGTGCTGTGCCAAAGCCTCCCCATCGCTTGGTTTGGGGCGGACGATGCCTGGCAGGCCCAGGTGCAGTGGGTGGACATGTGGGTGGGTGGAGCAGAAAAGAGAAATGGTGGAGAGGAAACCCTTTCAAACAGTGTTGTCTGCAATTCTTGTTACTCCCCTCCGTCATTTCTCTTTCTCTTTCTCTCTCTCTCTCTCTCTTTCTCTCTCTCACACACACAGACATTTGATCGCTTCAAAGGGACAGGCTGGGCTTTTCTTCAATCGTAAGCATGTGCATTGTAGCAGCAGCTTACACAACACAGGAGCTCCAGGCCTGGTGGAACGCAAATCGTGCTTCCTGCCTGCTCCATAGCCACAAGGTAAGCTGTGGAACAGAGGGGCCTTCAGCTGCAAGATTGCCTGGCACTGGGGCAGGCTGGCCTAGCAAGAATGCACTGGAAATATATACAGGCACCCGGAGAGACAAAACTCCCAGCTCTTGCTGGATCAGCTGATCCACGGGCCACAATTAAGGGGCCCAGAAGCCATGAGGTGGGGAAGGAAATGGCTGCCTCCTGTGCTGGCCATGCCCACCCCCTTCACTAGTGCTTATTTCTGGGGTAGGGCATATATTAGATCCACCCCAAAATAATCAGGTTAAGGCTTATTTTTGAGGTAGGTCATATTTTCAGGGAAACACAGTATCTTACTACAAGTTCTGTTCATTCACAAAAATTAAATTGTACAGCATTTTGCATTCTGTTGAGTTAATGTTAAACTATTAATTCATTTTATCAGGGAAGGATCTTTGCTTGTGATGTATTCTCAGGAATGTAACCTAGCTTGAATATGGAATGTAACATTACTCTGCTGCAGGGGTGGGATTCAAAGTTTTTAGCAACCAGTCCTGTGGTTGTGGCTAGATGGGCATAGCAGGGGAAGGATACTGTAAATTCTGTGCAGTTCGGAGAACCGGCTAGCCCTGCCCCTCTCTGCCTGCTCCTTCCCTAGGCATAGCTAGGTGAACTTGGCCATGTGACTGGGTGGGAATAGCTTTTTCTTCTTTTTTTTTCACAGCCCCCTTTTGCTTCATTTTCGGGCCTCCTGCACCTCACGTAAACCTCCTGGAGGGGCATTTTTGCTCCCAGTAAGCTTCCCTGGGGCCCAGGAAAGCAAAAAATGGAAGCCTCCTGCGCGAAGCAGTAAGACAGCAAGGGGGATCCCGTTACATTGATCATCAGAACAGCTGATCATCAGGAGCGGGGGAAGAATACCTTAAGGAGTGACTGGGCGGGGGAGAATGCAGTCAGCGATGTTGTCGGGCATGTGCACAATGTCGCGCGTGTGTGATAAGGGTTGACTGGGTGGGGAGGGAAGGGGCAGGCGGAGAGAGGTGGCGCTAGCCAGAAGCATGATTTGCCGGTTCTCCAAACTACACAGAATCATAACGATTGGTTCTATAGATCTCACCCCTGCTCTGCTGCAAATGTTAGTAGAATTTAGAATAAATTCAGTGGTGGGATTCAAAAAATTTTACTACTGGTTCTGTGGGCGTGGCTTGGTGGGTGTAGCAGTGGGAGGATACTGTAAAATCTCCAGTCAGAGGTAGCATTTGCTGGTTCTCTGAACTACTCAAAATTTCTGCTACCGGTTTTCCAGAACTGGTCAGAACCTGCTGAATACCACCTCTGTATAAATTCCTATACATCTCTTTACAACAACAATACCTTTAACCTACATTATTCATATCTGAGCCTAGTGAGAATTTCTTGACAGACTCTGAACAAGCTTTTCTGCTTTTTACAATTGAGCAGATTTCCTAATAAAGCTTAAAATCTGATTTCCTAACAAGGCTTAAAAACTTAAACAAATTTAATCAATTAAAATATATAATATTTCATGTGATACAGTTTACTTCATCTAATCTATCTGATGAAGTGTGTTTGTAGTTATTACAACTTTGGACTATCAAAGGCTAAAACCTACTTAAACCTGAAACCTAGTTAAACCTTCTAACTTGATGACTTCCAGACTAGTATGTGATTACTTTTCAAGTCTCACAGAAATAGTTTTAACACATTGTAGCAGTGGTGGTATTCAAATATTTTTACTGTCAGTTCTGTAGGCATGGCTTGGTGGGTGTGGCAGGGGAAGGGTACTGTAAAATCTCCAGTCAAAGGTGGTATTTGCTGGTTCTCCGTATTCCTCAAAATCTCCACTACCGGTTCTCCAGAACTGGTCAGAACCTGCTGAATACCACCTCTGCATTGTAGTATAAAATGAAAACAAAGATTATCTGAAGTCAAGAACCTTTGTTCCATATACCCTATGTTCAACTATGATTCCAAATATGTCTGTGTATATGTATGTACAAAGATTAAAAAAATGAAAATAATATCACACATACCACTAATACTGTCTGGTTGCATAGCTGCAAGTTTTTGAATTTCTTGTAGCTCTATCCAATTAGATTCCAGGGTTTCTTGTAACTGTTGTTTCTTCTTGGTTAGTTCTTGCAACTTATGTAATTCTTTTTCTGCAAGCAAAAATGTTCAAAATTATCTATTCAGAGTTTCAATTAGCAATAATTTCTGCTAGTTAATGACCATCGTGAAGTTACCTATATTCTTCAGAAATATTATCAAGCTCCTCATTGTTGCATTACATTTATAACAAAAAAATAAAAATAAAAATCACAACTTAATAATATGGGCTGTAGGCTTATCTTTCCAGAGGTTCTACCAGTATACAAGGAACAAAAAGGGAAAGGGCAGCATGTAGCAGAGTTTAATATGTGGCTAAAGGAGTGGTGTAAAAGTCATGATTTTATTAGTCAGGTTTTATTAGTCATGATGTCTGCCGCTCGTCCAATGAAAAACTGTACAAAAGAGATGGTTTGCATCCATCAAAGAAAGGGACTGAGTTACTTGGCATTAAATTCACAGATTTCCTGGATAAACATTTAAACTGAATAGCGGGGACAGAGAATTAATGGATTCAGAACATTTCTGCCCCCAGCAACCTAAAACTAATAAGAATACCAGTACATGCAAAATAGATGTTTGTGCAGGTAAGATTATCAACCTTGATGCCAACCAAAACCAAGCATTTAATAGTGAGTGCCATACCATGTGCACTATTCAAACAGGTGGCAAGGAAGTAGGGGCAGGCAGGCACAACACAGGTTATGTAGACAGTAAACACAGACAGATCTCAAGTGCCTATATACAAATGCACAAAGTCTGTGGAACAAGCAGGGCGAACTTGAACTACGAATACATGAAGATAAATATGATATAGTTGGAATAACAGAAACGTGGTGGGATGAAACCCATGAGTGGAACATACTGGTAGAAGGATACAAAACTATTTTAAAAAGCCAGACCCCATAAAACAGGAGGTGGAGTTGCACTGTATGTAAAAGACCACTATATTGCTACAGAAATGCATGAAACCAAAGATGAAAATCTCCTAGAATGCATATGGGTCAGTATAAAAGAAAAAAAGAATGACATGGCCATAGGTGTATATTATAGGCTACCCAATTAAGCAGAAAATATAGATGTCCTTTTTGCCAGCCAACTAACAAACATATGCAGGAAACATACAACAATAGTAATGGGAGACTTCAATTATCCTGATATCAATTGGAAAACTAATTCTGCCCCAAGTGAGAAATCAAATAAGTTCCTAACCAACCTAGCTAACAACTTTGTTGTCCAAAAGTTAGAGGGTGAAACTAGAGGGACAGCCATACTGGACTTTATTCTTACAAACAGAGAAGAAGTGATAGAGGGAGTTGAAACTGCAGGAACCTTGGGTGAGAGTGACCATGTCATACTAGAATTCAACATAACACAAACACAAGCAACAGAACATAATGACACCAGAGTCTTGGATTTTAAAAGAGCTAATTTCAATAAACTCAGAAAGAACTTGGGAAAGATTCCATGGATGAAAATCTTAAAGGGAAAACAATTCAAGAATCTTGGGAAACTCTAAAAAGTATGATCATAGAAGCCCAGACCAACACAATACCACTGAGAATGAAAAACAAGAAATCCAAGAAGAAACCAGCATGGCGGCACAAAGATCTCTCTGGCAAATTGAAATAAAAAAAGGACAAGTACAAAAAATGGAAGAAGGACATACAACTAAGGCAGAATATCAGCAGATAGCCAGAATCTGCAAAGACAGGATAGCAAAGGCTCAGAACGAACAAAGACTTGCAACAAAAGTCAAAGATAATAAAAAAGTTTCTTCCAACATATAAATCACAAGAAAAAAATCGAGGAAACAGTCGGTCCACTAAAGAGAGAAGATGACAAGGAAGTAACAGGCAACAGAGAGAAAGCAGAACTGCTTAACCCATTCTTTGCATCCGTCTTCATGCAAAAAGAAACTATAGCTCAAGCCACAAAAACATAACTGTAAAAGACAGATCAGAAATAAAAGTTAAAATAAGCAAAAAAATAGTAAGAGAACACCTGTCTGATCTTGATGAAAACAAATTACCGGGGCCTGATGGATTACATCCCAGAGTTTCAAAGGAGCTGGCAGAGGTCATCTCAGAACCATTGCACCAGATTCTTTCAAAAATCCTGGAGCACTGGGAAACTACCAGAGGACTGGAAAAGAGCTGATGTGGTTCCCATCTTCAAAAAAGGAAAAAAAACAGACCCAGGAAACTATAGACCAATCAGCCTAATATCAATACCCGGGAAGGTACTGGAAAAGATAATAAAAAAAACAGATCTGTCAACATCTAGAAACAAATAAAATAATAACTAGCAGTCAGCACAAGTTTGTTAAAAACAGACCATGCCAAACCAATCATTTCATTTGTCAACACAGTGACTAAATTAGTAGAACAGCAAAATACTGTGGACATAATATATTTAGATTTCAGCAGGGCACTCAATGAAGTAGACCACAACCTACTTCTTGGTAAGCTAGAAAAATGTGGAATAGATAGCACCACCACTAGATGGACTTGCAACTGGCTGGCAAACCGTACTCAACGAGTAGTCCTTAATGGGTCTAAGTCTACATGGAGGGAAGTAAGCAGTGGGGTGCCACAAGGTTCTGTCTTAGGCCCAGTACTCTTCAATATCTTCATTAACACTTAGATGAGGGGATAGAAGGAGAATTTACCAAATTTGCAGATGATACTAAGCTGGCAAGAATAGCTAACACCCAAGAAGATAGGCTCAAGATCCAGGTGGATCTTGACAGACTAGAACACTGGGCCATATCTAACAAAATGAAATTCAATGTAGAGAAAAGTAAAGTCCTACACTTAGGCAATAAAAACCAAAAGTACACATATAGACTGGGTGAAACCAGGCTCAGTAGTAGTAACTGTGAAAGGGATCTTGGAGTCTTAGTGGACAACCAGCTAAATATGAGCCAGCAGTGTGCAGCAGTAGCCAAAAGGGCTAATACAATCCTAAATTGTATTAACAGAGGGATACAATCGAGATCAAGGGAAATACTAATACCACTCTATAAAGCCTTAGTAAGACCACACCTAGAGTACTGCATCCAGTTTTGTTCACCACGTTATAAAAAAGATGTTGAGACTAGAAAAGGTTTTCTAGTTCTAGAATTTCAAGTCTGGTGGCATAAGGTATTCTACAATGAGTAGAGGAGTGGAGAACTCTTCTTGTGAAATATTTCTGGACTTTCTCAATTGTGCTAATATCAGATACGTAATGTGGGTTCCAGACTGATGAGCTGTATTCGAGTATTGGTCTAGCAAATGTTTTGTATGGTCTAGTTAGTAGTGTGATATTACCAGAGAAAAAGCTACGTAAGATTAGGTTAACAACTCTTAATGCCTTTTTGGCTATGTAGTTGCAGTGGGCTCTAGCACTTAGATCATTAGAGGTGAGAATTCCAAAGTCCTTTACAGAGCTTGGATCATCAACAAGATCTTGACTATTCAGCTTGTATTTTATTTTCGGATTTTTTTTGCCAATATGTAAGACAGAGCATTTATTTGTTGAGATTTGAAGTTGCCATTTGTTTGACCATTCTGATACACAGTCAAGATCTTTTTGAAGGGTAGCAGTATTATCTGTGGTATTGAACAGCTTTACATCATCAGCGAAAAGAACGCAGTTGCTCTTAATATGATCACAGAGGTCATTTATGTAGAGTATGAAGAGAGTTGGTCCTAGAACACTGCCTTGGGGGACACCACTATTGACAGGTACAGAATTTGATAGGACACTCCCAATTTTGACCATTTGTTGTCTGTTTGACAGGAATGCTTCTATCCAGTTATGCAGTTGTCCAGAGATACCATAGGAATTTATTTTTAGGAGTAGTTTGTCATGTACCACTGAATCAAAGGCTTTACAGAAGTCTATGTAGATTGCATCTATTGTTTTGCCCTGATCAAGTTGTGTAGTCCATATGTTTTTGCAGTGTAAGAGTTGCAGATTACAGGATAGTTTTTTTCTGAAACCTTTTCCAGAACCTGGGTAGAAAGCTCACATCTAGTAAAGTGTTGTCTAATAAATTCCAGCTCGTTTGCTGGTCTTTCTGCCAGCATTGCATTTGCTGATGCATTAACATTTTGTCTGCATAGCTTTTTACCAGCACTGTATAAGTTTTCTCTCTACAGCAATCTCCAAAGTTTCCTATTCCTATAAGATTTTCAACCTGTTTTTTTGGTAATACCAACTAGCTGCCCAGGCATTACCTTGGAGGTGAAAAAGAGAAACCAACAGATAAGGATTCTAATAGACTCAATTATTATAATGATAGTAGCTTCCAAAACAATAATTATAGGTGTCACTTTTTCTAAACTTCTTAGTAATTATTTTCTTATTTACCAGTAGACTGTACAAATGTAGTCCTTTCTGAAGCATGACGACATATATTTTGTATATCATGTACAGCTGCTTCCAGATCTGAGATCAAATTTATTTTTTGTTCAGCTAACTCCTGCAACTTATGCTCTATGAAAAAAAAAGCAAAATAAAAACATTATAATAAAACAATATAATATGCTAAATAGAAAATTCCAGTGATTAGTAGGTATCAGCATTATCTTTGAACAGGTACATATGCTTGACATTAACTCGAGGTTCAAATCTCAGTTCAGGTTAATATGCTCTGGTCCAAGCCTCTACAGGGCAAAGCTAACTGCTATTTTTGCAGTAGGGCTGGTTTTCTAAAACATTAATATATATTATTCTTAATTACAATAGGCAAATAAAATGTCTGCTCATGGCTCTACGTATGTGGGCTACCAAAATGTAATACCTATGTTTATATCCAAGAATAAAATACTATTAGCACAGTCACTGAAGAGGACAGTCTTTCTATCAGATGGCTTCTGGATTAAGAAAGGCTTCCATGAAACTATTTTTCACTTGGCATAACATGAGTAACAGTTGCAAATGCTATTATCAATCATGCATCATCACTATGAGTACCTGTGATTATCTGATTCAAAATGTGTGTGTGTGTGTGTGTGTGTGTGTGCGCGCGCGCATTTGAAATATATTTTTAAAAAATCCCACATACCACTGACACTGCCTGGTTGGGTAGTTACAAGTTCCTGAATTTCTTGTAGTTCTTTCTGATTAGAGCCCAGTGTTTCCAGTAATTGATATTTCTTTTCAGATAGTTCATGCAACTCATGTAATTCTTTTTCTGCAAGCAAAATATGATTGTTTCAAAAATATTTTCAAGCTTATTTTAGCACTGCTTTCAAAATACTTTTTTAATTACCATGTCTGATTATAACAGTCTGTATTTTGAGATTTGGTCACTATGGGATCTCTGTTCCCCCAGGCTCCCACCTCTCTAGCCTTTTGGGAGATCTTAAAAGGTTGTTTTCCCCACCAAATGTTGGAATAGGGTGAGGCTGGAGCCCAGTAATTGGGGTTTTTGTATGTATTGCAAATTGTTGTTAAGTGTACCAGAAGGTATGAATGGGAGATATTAATTTTATTTTATTATTTTTTAATTGCTGCTGTGAGCCACCAGATGGCTCATAAGATTGTTACTCATATACGTCTCATAAATACATATATACATTTATACATTTCCTCCAAGTCAAAGCTCACTATTCTTCTGAGGAATCACTACAGATAGATGAAAAAGCATATGATTATCCTCACTCTTTGATAGTTAGGTTTATAATCAATTGTGGGATTCAAAATTTTTTACTACCAGTTCAATGGGTGGGGCTTGGTGGGTATGGCCATGTGACTGGGTAGGTGTGGCTTTTTTTCTTTTTTTTTGCTTTTTGCCACCCCCATCCATTTTGGGGAGCTTCCTAGCCTCAAAGGAGCTTCTGGGTGAGTGTTTTTGTACCCCTAAAGCTCCTCTAAGGCTCAGGAAGAAAAAAAACAGAGCATGTGAGGGACACACAGCCCTGCTCCAAGCTCTGTTTTGGGAGCTTCCTAGCATCAGAGGAGCTTCTGTGTGGGGAGGGTGTGTGTTCACTCTCCTAAAGCTCCTCTAAAGCTCAGCGAGGAAAAAAAAACAGAGAATGGGAGGGGCATGCAGCACCCCTCCAAGCTGTTTTGGGAGCTTCCTAGCCTCAGAGAAGCCTCGGGGGGGCGTTTTTGCTCCCCTAAGGCCCCTCTGGGGCTCTGGAAGCAAAAAATGGAGTGGGGGGGCTGAGCTCCTCCCTCCATTTTTTGCCTTCCTGGGCCTCAGCAAGGGGAATCCCGGCACAGCTCATCTATGCACAGCTGATTGTTAGGAGGGGAGAAAAAAAGAAATACCTTAAGCAAATGTCAGGTGGCGGGTAAGCGAGCATCAGGTCAGAGGGCAACTGGGTCGGGGGTGTGGCCAGCCAGAACTTACTACCGGTTTGGCAACCCACGCCAAATTCCTGCTACTGATTTGCCCGATCCGGTGTGAACTGGCTGAATACCACCAACAGTATTATACTGTTTATAATACTAAAATAATATGCACAATCAATGCTGTTTTTGATAAAACTATTAGTTATTATTTCCTTACCAGTAGGTTGTATAAATATAATTTTTTCTGAAGCACGACAACATACATTTTGCATACCATTTAGAGTTGTCTCCAACTCTAAGGTCAAATTTCTTATTTCCTCATTTAATTCCTGCAATTTATGCTCTATAAAAAAATCATGATACAATACTATTAAGCATAAAAATAGATGAATTCATTAAATTAATTTTAGTGTTAACTATAGTTCAAAACATTAATGATTAGTATATACCGTAGATAATAGAATGAATTCTTGCCTCTCCAAATCCTCCACTCATTCATTTAATAATTAAAATTATTAAATGGTTCTCTGTAGAGAATCTATTCAGCTAAAATATTCTCAGGAATTATATTGTGCTGAATATACCACCAGAGCTGAGAAAACGTTCCTACAAATGTTTCTTACATAACATTATCTTTAAACAAGCACATAACTTGAAATAACCTACAATGTAAGCTTAAGTGAAATTTTCCTACCATACTTCTCTGAATTCTATAGTTCCAAATTAATTGTCTTTTTTGCAGTTGAACAGATTTAATTGCAACAGGGGAAAGCTACCTAAGCTTATAGTTCAGTAAATTTGGCCTTTCAAAATTAATATGTATCTTTACAACTAGAAATGAGTACATCAGAAGTATACATAGTTACTGAAGATGACTGTCTTTTTGATAATTTCTAGATGAACCTAGAACAGGCTGAATGGATTAGAATACCAAAGGCAATTGTTAATCATATCTTCATCTCAAATAGTGCACTTCACTTAACTGTCTGATTCCAAATATATATACTGCATTTATATAATATAAAAGTTTATATATTTAGTATAACATCACATACCACTAACACTGTCTGGTTTGATAGATGCACATTCCTTAATTTCTTGCAGCTCTTTCTGATTAGATTGCAGTGATTTCAGTAATTGATGTTTTTTATCAGACCATTCATCCAATTCATGTAATTCTTTTTCTGCAAGCAAACAGGCTCAAGACAGATTTATTCTGAGCAACAACACAAATTTTAGTTTGGGGTGTCTGTATGTGTGTGTGTTCAACAAAAAAAAAGAAGAAAAGTGGTAACAATCTAATAAAGAGAAAACATATAAAGAAATGGCTTATTTTCAGACTTGTCCCTCCAAAGGTTTTTAACAACTTAGAAATAATGAGTTATTTTAGAAGGTGAAATTTACAAACTTTGTGTACTCCATGATTACGAGCAAGATTACTAAGCCCATCATTGTCTCACAGTTCAAACCCATGGAAAACCATTATACTGCAACCTTGTTGCAGGGACCAGCTGTCTGGAACACAGTTGAACATTCTTCTGTGTTCTTATGCATACAAGTTCCAAGAAATGAGTCCATTCATGGAAAGAGTGCTTAATTCAGCATTAGAGACTACTAGTGATTGTGAATGAAGGCAGGCATCAGGGATTGTGTTTCATTTTGACATATGTGCCAACTAGAAAAATCCTGGAAAATCAGCTGCCTTGCTGCAACCTGTCAGATCACACTTATAACCATGGGACACAATATGATTGGATTTTATTGTTGATCTCTCCCTGATACAGAGTTATATCAGCATTCTGACATTGACTTTGTAGTGACTTTGTTTAAAGCAGGGGTGTCAAACTCACATCGTCACAGTGGTGTCACATGAGGTATTGGGACTTTTCCCTCCCTTCATTAAACTGGCCCATGGACCAGTTTGTCAGTTTGACAGCCCTTGTTTAAAGGCTTGGCCCATGTAGTTCCTTACAATGGTCTCCCCACAGCTCAGTAAACAACAACACTTTTTAAATATTTTAGATGTAGAGCCCTGTTCAAACATGTGATCTCAGATTGCTGATTGCAAGTTTCCTACATGTTTTGGAAGATCCTCTTTCAATTATTGAATATTAAAATTAATCTTTCTTCCATCAACAATCTTCAGAAGAACTAAGTATAACAACTACAGTATATGGATATTCCAGTTGAAATAGCAAATATTTATCGATGCAGATCTATATTTCATCCACCAAACTAAAGAAACTCTATTCAGTCAATCCATAAATTTAGCAAACTAATTTTAAAAACAAATTCAGTAATATACACAAAGTTGGCCCAGAAACAGAAACCTGAAAGTCTTAGTCTGTTTACAGAGCACAGCATAGTTAGGTTTCTAGGTTTCTTGAGATATTTTTTGAATCTAGGATATAAATAAAACCAAATCAAGGTTATTCATACTAACACATGTAGTGTTATATCAGAACTGAAGCATTACTATAGTAACCCTAATTCCTGGAATACATCTGTAGCAAGCAGAACCAGAGTGTCCATTACTAGAAATGTTTGATCAAATAAAAGGGTTCATAATTGTAAAAACCGAATAATTTGGGCTTCTGTGTCCAGTACTGTTTGACTAAGTCATGCTTAACATACTAATACAATATAACATATTTTAAATTTAGACAGAATGGAAAGGAACCTAATTGTTTCTTTCTGATAATCTCACTGATTATACAAATTGCTACATTTACAGTATTGAAACAATATGCATAATCAGTCTCACATTTTCTTAGATTCTTAGTAATTTTTCCTACTTACCAGAAGGTTGTATAAACATAATTCTTTCTGAGCTATGACGACATACATTTTGTATATTATCAAGGGTTGCCTCCAAATCCATAGTCAAAAATCTTTTTTGCTCAGTCAATTCTTGCAGCTTATGCTCTGCAAAAATTCATATTATTGTACATAAAAATAGTTAAGTTCATAAACTTGATCCTTAGTATTATCTAGATTTCAAAATGTTAATCTGGAACAAAACCTTCATACTCTTTATCAACCCCAATCTTGGGAGGTGGAGGTGAAGAGGGCCAATAGGGAATTAAAGACTCTCCTATGCAAACTGTGATGACCCAGAGTGTACCACAAATATAATAAAAACCAAAACGTAAATAAAGGTCCTTTAATGCCTTCAACTTGGCTTCACTATTCAATTGTTCACAGTTGGAGATTAAACTATTTTCAAAATAACATTCCAAACGAAAGAAATATAGTTCAAACTCAAATAGCAGATAATGAAGCAAAAACAAAAAACAAACCACACTGAAGGAAGTTCAGCAATAGACCAGGATAATTTATTACAAACTTCAAGAAGATAACCAGGTACAGTCCGTTGAAAGAACACTAACCAAGATAAACCTCATCCAGGAAAAAATACTCTTCGTCTCCAGCGTTTCCTAGCACGCAGATCCAAACTCTTATGCAGATCTCACACCTGCAACCCATGAAGAGGATCATGGCCCTCTCCTCCTGAGTAGATCACTTTTTTCCCTGATCCTCTCCTCCCTGCGGGCCCTAGGATGGATGTTTAGCAGGACTTGGAAAAGTCCATTCACTCCACTTAGGTTCCAGTGAAGATTTCCATGTGAAAGATCAAATCCACACCCAGTCTCCTGGCTCGAATGGGCAGAGACCTCCTTCCAGGGGCAGCATCTGACTTACCATGGTCTGCTTTCACAACCTTTGAAGTTGTCTGTATAAATAAGAAAGATAAGACAAACCCCTATTCCCCTCCCCTTCTAAGCAAATGTGGGTCTAAGCCAGGGGTGTCAAACTCAAGGCCTATGGGCCGGAGCTCAGTTTTCATTGGCAAAGGGTTGCTGGAGGCCATCACAGCCAAAAATGGAGCTGAGCAGCCCATTTTTGCTGGCAGAGTGCTTGAGCCACCAAAGGTGCTCCCTACATGAGTGATGTCAAACTGGCCACACACACCCTGGCCATGCCCATCCTGCCCCCCGCCCACCAGGTCAAACACAATCCTGATTGGCCCTCAATGAAGTTAAGTTTGACACCTCTGGCCACATCAAGAATAATTTCCCAAAGAATAGAAAAGAAATCCCCCATAAGAATAAGACTTTTCTTGACTACCTCCAGTCTAGCTTAAGGAAACTATATTTCCATTCATAAAATACAGCGTTGTCATTCATGAAACCAGACTCTCATTCAGAAATATACACTGTAACAAGCAATCTCCAAAAAACGAACCTGGCAACACAATAGACCACTGATGACGAACCTTTTCGGCACCGAGTGCCCAAACTGGAACATGCATGCATGTCAGTGAATGTACATGTGCCAGAGTGCTGGAAAACCAAAGACCAGCTGGCCAGTGCAAGCATGCCTGTTTTTGGCCCATTTTGGGGGGCTAGTTTTTGGTACATTTTCTGGGCTGTTTTCTGGCCATCTTGACCTGAAAAAGGCCCAAAAAACAGCCTGAAAATGACCCAAAAATGGCCTGAAAAGGGGCTTCTTTTGGGGGCAATTTTTGGGCCATTTTCAGGTGCTTCTGCACCCACGAAGATCAGCTGGCAACAGCGCACGTGCCCACTGAGAGGGCTTTGTGTGCCACTTCTGGCACGTGTGCCATAGGTTCGCCATCATGGCAATAGACCAAATCTGATCACTCAGGCTAAAATTATATTAGAAAAGCAAAACACCCATGTCTACAATTCCCTCAAGGATGTGTTGTCCCACTCACTCACATACATGTCAGTATGGCTTATGGAGAGTTTTACTGGTATTCCCTAGCAATTCTTTTCACCTGGCTTTAAAACTGTCCCAAACGAAGCCCGCCATAAGCAAGCCCAGATTAATCTCACAGGCAATGGCCCCTTAGTCCATAAAACAAATAGCAAGCTGCTCAAACAAGTAAGTTCAATAAGTGAACATAAAGCCCCCAGGCAAAACTGAAAGTACATCCACGTTAGCTCACTGGTTATAGAAGTTCAGAGTCTCAAAAGTCCAGCAGGAAACACAAACAAACACATGGCCATGACCTCACACATTGTTCCCAGCAATGCCTCTCTTTGCCTGCCATGCTAAATAGCTTCCCTGTGCAGCCCATCAAGAGGGGCAAGGCCTTCTCCTGAGCAGTCGGGCAGATCTCTATTCCTCTTCCCTGCGTGCTCTGAGGTCCACCATGGAAGGCAGCTCCTCCCCATCCTCTTCACTGGCCTACAAGCTGTCCCCAGCCAAAGCCTGTAATTTTTTCGACTGGCAGTTCAGAGTCAATAATTAACTCCATTCCTGATGTGCCAAGATTCTCTCTCAGGCCGGCCTCTGAGGAAGAGTCAGAAGAGTCCTTTGTCCAAAAGAGACATCACAAAGGGAAAACTGCAGAATCATACAGGCAACAAAAAGGGAATTGCAACAAGTTAAAATATTGCCTCCAGTCACAACAACACAAAAGAATCACATACTCATACACACGTCTACATGCTTAAAAAAATGACTCAAAAATAAAATAAAAATTTGATCAGATCACCATCCATTTGCTAGCTATCCCCAGGAACAAACTCTGTTGTTGCTGTTGGGAAATGAATGGACCTTCCTTTCTTAAAGCAATTAAGATGCCTCACATCTTATTTGTCCATGTTTTCTCCCAGCTTGAAAGAAAAGGGAACCAAAAGGATTCTCTCTTCAACATGGTATCCCCCCAAAAACGTAACTGTGAGTTTTCTTGCTAAAATCAGGTTTTCGTTAAAAAAAAAAAGCAGTGAAGCTTTGTGACAATATTCCATGGATTAATAGATTCATTGTTTCTGGGTCATAATGATTACTTCTTCAGCAGTCAAAAATTCAGTCACAGCAGTGTAGACTTTTGTTTGTATGTAGCAATACAACTCTTTCTGGCAGCCATTCTCAGCAATAAAAAGAACAGATCTTAAAGTCAAAACTTCTAAATACTGCAATCCAATGGTGACTTCTAAAATTGAAAGCATCACTTTTTAATTGAAGCTTGAAGCTTCATATGACCACAACAAACATACCATTGATGCTATCTAGTTGGGTAGCCTCAAACTTGTGAATTTCCTGTAACTCTTTCTGGTTAGATTGTAGTGCTTCCAGTAACTGCTTCTTCTTCTCAGACAGTTCATTCAACTCATGTACCTCCTTTTCTGAAATTAGAAACTTTATAAACAACTTTTGCTTTGCATATATACACACACACACACACAGTATGTAGCTTTGTAGCAACATTTCGGAAGAATCTCATCTGTCATCATCAGGCTTCTGTATTGTGTTCGTCTGATGTGGGAAAATACCCAAACAAAGCTGAATACCATACATATAAATACCTGCAAAAACTTAAGAATATATATATATATATTATGATTAATATATAGTATGATTAATCTTACACAGGAAAAGACCTGAACACACCTAGATCTACATACCTGTACCTGTGAAAATCTACGAAAACACACACACACACACACACACACACACACACACACACATATATATATATATATATATATATATTTGTTTTCTGAGGTTCTCGCGGGTATTTGTATGTGGATCTTTGGTTGTTCGGGTTTTCTCCCACGTAAGATTCGAAGTATCTAGGCAACGTTTCGATGAAGTCTCATTCATCATCTTCAGGCTTCTGTCTCCGGCTCTGTGCTTCTCAGAGTAATGTGAGATTGCAGCTGCTTCCTCCTTTTAACTGCCAGTGG